GTAGTGGTTCGATTTCTTTGCTTCTAAGCGCAGTTGGTAACATTAAAAGTGGTGTTGCTGTAATACTATCTGCTTAGTTGAACGAATGACAAGCGCCTTATTATCTGGGCCTTTAGCCAAACGCCACTTTAGCGCTTCTCTACAGAGAGAGTAGAAAACTAAATGTATGGGGATGACACTGACAAGTGTCAAAATTTACGTTAATCTATACTAATATTATAAAAACCTATTTTTGTATGTTTGTAATGAATAGGCTCAAAAAGTACTGGGCCGATTTCAAAAATTCTTTCTCCAATAGAATGCTACATTCTTCCAATTTGACATAGGCTACGTTTTATTTTAAAAATATTAGGGATCCTTGGTAAAATTTGAACAATGTAACCGAAGGTGTAGAAAAAGAGTCTTAAAATGTCTTTCGTCGAATGCGCTGCCGAAACTATTAGCGATAGAACAAAATAATGTACAACAATATTGAAGAACATCATAATGTCTACAAAAAACTGCCCAGTAGCATATGTCCAACTATTGTAGTTATGTCACTACAACAATCCAAATTTCCAAAAATAAATAATTGTCTACCCCGTGCGAAGCCGGGACGGGTTGCTAGTTCCATATAATTTTGTTTTCTATTCTACATTTAGACAAACGCTAAATGGCATTTGGCTACAGCTGCTGATTCGATTTTCAAGTCAGACAAACTCTCAGTAATTAACACGAAACCCGATTCCTATTTCTCATTATCATAATCACGATTTCGATATCCGAATCAAAAAAATTCTTTGTTATAACACGTACCCATTTCATTGGCTAATCAAGTCTACAGGCTACCCCTGCGAAGAATAAAAAGCGTGTTGATTTATGAATGTTTGTATATTTGATAGTAATTGGTAATCAAAAAAGAATCATATGTAATACTTGCTAGCGTATACTTTAGTTCAGGAATATTTATTCGATTTTTTTATTTCACAACCCTGCAACTCTTTATTCTGAATGACAATAGGGTAGATGACTAATTTTTATTTTAATGTCCGTCAGGTAGATTATTTAAAAACATTAGACACGTATTTTTTATTTCCTTACGGAAACGAATAGTTTCGAAGATATATTGATTTGAAATATCGCATGTTGTCGCTTTTGAGTACAATTTATACTCTAGAATGACGTAGCTACCTCCCAATCCTAAATTTTGATTCGTTTTATCTAAGTATTGTTTTCTTATACGACAAAATAAAAAAATACGTGTCTAATATTTTTTCATTACCTAACTGACGGACTAATTAGATTATTAATTTTCATACATATCGATGCCTTAGTTCACAATTGCACTAACTACAAAATTTTCAATTTTTACTTTTTTAATGCCAAATACACTAAATTTCATGCTCTTTCGTTTCCGCGCATCGAAATACCGTTATTCCGTCTCTTTCTACCAAAAACGTGGGTCACAGTTGTATTAAATGACCTCGTCTAATGTTTCTTATATGTGGTATTGTACTAATGATCTTTATTTTTGTAAAACCAATCAAGATATACTTTAACTGATTTTAAGTTTCTCAACTGTAGGAAATTTCAAAACACAAACGTATTATATACATTTGCAATATCTGCTCATACTTTTTAGCAGTGCTACAAGAGTGAATTATGTGTTGTTAGTACAAAAGGATCAAGAAAGTTTGATGCACAAGTGTGCTAAGTACTTTTATTGGAAGGGGCTTGGCAATTTTTTAAATGCATAAATACATTAAACCGTTTTGAGATATAGTCCGAATTGTACAAGTGTACAAGTTCCGGGCTATAACATTTGACCTTCAAGCTATCCTATCGGTACCTTTTACTGGAGACTGCAAAATCTATTATTTACGTAAATTATCGATGTACAATTTTACTATCCTAGATTGTTATGATAACACTGGCTACTGTTATTTATGGGACGAGTGTAATGGCAAAAAAGGTTCTACTGAAATCGGATCGATATTGTTAAAATATCTTAGTAGTTTACCCGAAACTGTTACTCATGTCGCATCATTTTCTGACACTTGTGGTGGTCAGAACCGCAATAAATATGTTACTCTAGCCGCTTTATACGCTGTCAATAACATACATCACTTAGATACAATCGATTTGAAATTCATGGAATCGGGGCATTCGTATTTAGAAGTGGATTCAATTCACGCGTGTATTGAAAGAGCGCGAAAGCATAAAAGCATATTCACTTTGCGTGAATATGCATTGGTGATAGGGTCGGCTAGAATCAAGCCGAAACCCTACGATGTTGTTATTATGAAACACGGGGAATTCTATGATTTGAAGGGATTCGAAAAAACTTTGAATTGCAATACAACAAAAAATACAAAAAATGAGCAAGTACAGTGGCTGAAAATTAAGTGGCTGCGGCTGCAGAAAAAATCCCCCACTTCAATTTTTTACAAATACGATTTGACCGATCCAGATTTCAAAGAAATAGACATTTGTAAGACAAAAACAATGAAAAAAAATAAAGACATATGTATAAGCAAACTAAAGAAACCTCTGAAAGGAGCATATAAATCACTGATTCCAGTGTCGGAAACTAAAAAGAAAGATCTGATAACACTTTTAAATGATGGGGTTATACCACCAGAATATGAGCACTATTACAAAGATATTCCATCCACTTCTGCGACTATTGTTAACAATAATTGTGATGACACTGAATCGTCTGATGATGATCCAGATGAAGAGTCCATTATTGAAGAAATTTAATTTTTGATTCAATTTTTAATTACCAATTAGTAAAAATGAATAATTATTACCTGAAACTGAAGACTGACTTTATTTTTTAATAAAAAAACTTATTTTAATGATTCAGAGGAATGATAATTGTTTTGTGAAATAGCTAAAGATTGGCCTATAATTGGGCTTCAGTTCTTTTAATTTTTTTGTTGTGATTTTGAAATTTATTTTATTTGATTGTGAATAAAGACTGTTTGTGTTTTGTAATAAAAATAAACATTATGAATATGGATCACTGGTTTATTATTTTGTCTATTTAATGCAATATCCATAACTATTATTATCCCTCTTCTTGGACCTTGAACCGGCCTGGTAAAGCTGTTAAATATTTTTGAGTTATTCACTTAATGCCGGTCAGCATAATCAGTCTTAGTGCACAAATGTATTAAAGGGGAGGTTTTCTTTTTATTTGGCCGTTTTGAAAAGGTTACGTTTAAACTAATATTACAATATTGATATATGATGGAGTAAAAGGTCTAGTCTTATGAGTCTGATGCATATTTTTTTGTTATTTTACTTGGATTTTCTACTGTTCTCGTCTAAACTTTAAAAAACTTTAAAGCTCTCTCCTCAAAAATGTAAATTTCGTAGTTAGTGCAATTGTGAACTAAGGCATCGATATGTCTGTTTGTCTGTTTGTACTGGGTAATCTCTGTAAGGGCTGGACCGATTTTGACGGGACTTGATTACAGGCAGGTAGCTGATGTACTAAGGAGTAACATGGCTACTTTTCTTTTGGAAAATTGAAACAAAAAGAGTTATTAACTAAAAACTGCCGGTTACTCACGTGAATATACTGAGAATACTGGAGTGGAGTGGAGTGGAGTGTGACACAGTAAGCGTTATATGGAACACTGACTTTGTGCCGAACCCGGAATCGAACCCACTACCCTCGCCGCTGGTGAACGTACCGTGCGCTTTAACATCGTCCAACGCGCCGCCGGAGTTAGAAGCAAACGCTCGTAGTGTCCGGCAGAGGGCGCGTTAGGCTCGCAGCGCAAGTAGCAACATCGATGCGAACGCCAACGCTGCTCATGAGGAAGAACCCCTCTGTGTTTCGAAACTAGTAGAGCTTTTCTCAGTATATATTTATATATTATGTATATATGTATGTATGTAGGCATATTGTACTCATGTGTAGGTATACATTTTAATTAAATTTATTTATGTATGTATATCTCCGAAATATATTAGTTTATCCTTCATTGTTAAATAAAATCACTGCTTGCCTCTTGCACCTACCATTTACTCTTCTCTGCATCACCCAAAGGTCAGACTGGTAGAAAATGCCTGCGGCATTAAGTCCACCTTTTTGTACATTTTGTGCATGAAGCATTTTAAATAAATAAATAAATAAATATATTCACGTGAGTAACAACCCGCAGTTTTTAGTTAATTTAGTATGTCTCACGATAGTTATTATAAAAAAAGGAGTTATGTCTCCAAATTCATGTTCAATATTGACGAAGTCGCGAGCAATAAGTAGTTATAACAATATAACAGTAGCTACTGAATCAGTATTTTTTACCTGAATACTAAATAACTGGGTTCATTATAGTATACTAGCTTTTACCCGCGGCTTCGCTCGCGTCACAAAAGGATAAAAAGCCAATGTGACATATACCAATGCACACAGCGCCATCTATACTAATACTTTTGTTTTCCCTCGGGAATATCAATTTTTCGGGATACAAAGTACCCTATTATTTAATCCGGACTTCTAACTTTACTTTTGCAAAAATTCAAAACAATCGGTTTACTAGTTACGGTGTGATAGCGGAACAAACAAACAAACAAACAAACTCACTTTCCGATTATATATAGTAAGGACTGACATGCAAGAGTTGAGTTAACTTTGAACCTTAATGCAGATTACAATTCGGCTTATAAAGCTTACAAGGCAATGTATAAAAATTTGAATTAATAAATAAGCAATTAATGACACCACATTTTTATCTTCAACTTTGACAATGATAGTAATTTTTAACTTGAATAAGTACACTTGGGACCTTCTCAATTTTAAGTTATCAAGTACTTTACCCATATATCCCCAAGCGGTCACCGGTGACCACCACTCTCCACTAACTGCATTATAAACCTTACTTCCAATGTTTAGAGACTACTTTTTTATGAACAAATTTAGGGGATGATTTTCAACAATTTTCAACAGGTTAATTATCGTGCCATCTCTATCATTCTACAAAGAATTTGTAGGGACAAAACTATACTTAACGGCGAACTAAAATTGAGTAGCCTTTCAGTATTCGAGCGTTAGTTACAACTATATGCCTTTTATACATAAAAGGCAATTCATTTACCTTTAAAAAATGATAGCATTTTGTTCTAAAAAGAAATTATTATTAAACTGTCAAACACTGAGCGGTCACCGGTGACTGCAACCTATTGTTCTTTAATTGTGGCTTTAATGACGGTACTCAACGAGTTAGGCTATAGAGCAGGGCTGACCAAACTACATACCCTCGCAGGCTAATTAAATTTCTTACAAAAGATGGAGGGCCAGAAAAATATTTTCAGTTGTATAATGACGTATAACATTGTATTCTTTACTCACAGATAAATCATGTAGATAAATCATACACTGAATTTTGATTATTGTACATAAAATGAAGAGGTTGAGATTAAAATGTGTGTCGCGGGCCACATGAAAACAAGCAGTGGGTCGCATGCTGCCTGCGGGCCTTTATTTGGACAGCCCTGTTATAGAGGAAATGATAAAATTAAAAAAATGCAAGTGGCTTGTTTCTTTGCTCCCATATGATACGCTAAATATGATATTAGATAATACTTGGATATTTACCGTGTGTGGTACCATTCATTACTTAAATATTAAATAAATAATGAAAAAACCTTACAAAACCTTCTATAATTTGATTTGCGGTATGCGGTAAGGCACGAGAGCTAATTCAGGTCCACTATTGAATGTATGTGTGAATTTCAACGTAGCAATCTTCTTCGGCATTGCAACAATCACCAAGTGTCCGTCTTCAATTTCCGACACATCTATTTGTAATATCTGACACGTTGAAAGTACGGGACAGTCAGATCGTTCCATAAAATTGTACTGTTTAACTGGAGTTGTATGAAAAATATCTAATTCACCATCTGCATAAGGAGCGTAGTAAATCCGTAGCACTCCCCAATTTGATCCAACGAAGTACACATCTCCGTAAGGTCTTATTATAATGATATCTCGTAACAAACCGTCATCAGGTATAGCATGGTTCAAGACATACATCCATTGAAAGTATATCCTCCAATCGAGTTGTTCTAAAAAGTTGTACTCCTTCAATTGGTGCAGTAAATTGGAGTCCGGTCCCAGTGCGCACACAAAAACCATCTCATTATTAACTATTGTGTATATCTTCCGATGGAAAGTTAATATATTGAGTTGTTTATTCATGAAACCGAGTGACATGATACCGTCTTCGGAACGAGTGATGTAGTGCGCTTTCAACTGGCGTTTGTAATAGTTACACATGTATATCTCATCCGATAAGGTAACGAAGTACAACGTATCATCCGTTAGATAGAAAAGTTTACCGTTACTGAATGTAGTGTTACTATCATCCGAGGTGATGTCAAATATTGCTTTCTTTATAAGATATAGTTCTAGATGGTAGCTCTGAATTACAATGGCTACGTCGTTCTCTGTGTACCGAGAATAATCGCCAGTTATAGGTTCCCGCTTACTTTCCTTTAGCGTTTCCATGTCATAATAAACTACTGCGCCCTTTTTATGGACTCCTAGTACATTTTTGTCGAGAATCACGAAGTTTCTGATTTCTTCATTCATACGAGATGCAGCAGCGAACTCGTCTCTGTCCTCGTTTGCATCCGATAACCGATTCCAGAGCGACAAAGAACGGTAAAGGTGGAAATAATTTAAACCCGCTTTCTGTTTACTTCGCGCTATAATAGTAAACCTCGTTCCAAACTCTCTTATACAGAAAGTACGCCACAAATCATCGAGTTCAGTTATCTCGTTGATTATTGTAAGCCATCTGGTACACACACCTCGGATTTTCCACAAGTCTTTTGCAGGTAAGTAGTAAAAAATATTCAGTAAAAGTTCCGTCGGTAACAAGCACATGTAACTCAAATTATAGCTGGTCTCTGACATTTTGACTGTGTATTTTAACTTTTTTAAAGGTTTAATGGTATTTTTAAACTGTTTTTGTGTTATTTCATGATGTTATTTTGGTTTTTTATCTAAACAAACTGTTCACAAACAAACATCCGATTTGACATTGAGCTGTCATGTCATGGGTCACCTCTTTCTGTCAACAAGTGTCAATAAAAGTATTAGGATTTATACATTTTTGAGCATAACTTTGTTTCGATCTCTGCGGATAGAAAAAGTAATAATTAGGTACTTGAATATTTATTATTTCATTATTATAGCATTAATCTGCATCAATTTTCTTTAATTAAATTCCCAAACGAGGTAGCTCTCGTAATCTTTTAACCTTCTCGAGAATGAATGAAGTCTATTAGTAGTCTATTTATATTCTGTGGACTACACTATTAACTGTGAGTGTTTTGTTGTCATTGTCATTTGTCAAACTCGATTTCAAAATTAAAACGGTGAATCGTGTTTTGCTAAATAGATTTTATTTATTTACGAATAATCACTTAAAATGTCTGCATTTAAACAGTTAAAAGATGTCAGCATCGCCTTCGAGCAGCAACTGCGCGACATATCTACCGAGTTATTCTCAGCGAAAATACAAGAACCGTTCGAAGATGGACTGACAAAAAAATTACAAGATTTAACTTTTTTAACTTCAAAATTGAGGCTGTTAAAAGCAAAACCTTTGTCTGGTAAGTGTTTAAAACTGTTATACAATAATAAATTTAACTATCTGTGGAGTTTAAATGCCTAAAATATCTAGTTTTTAGTTAAAAAAAATCCTTCCTAATACAAGGTAAGATTACTGATAAAAAAGTTTGTAGTTTTATTATGTATCAAATTTGCATAAACTTAGCATTTACAATCTGATCAAATTAATACAAAATAAAATACTCTGGTGCATTCTGCAATATTTGACTTAGGTGGTAACATTACCAATTTATAACATAGAATAATACAGATTACTGTGGACCCTGTAAAATATATAATTTTAATACATCATTATTGGTAGTTGGTTTCCTGATCTTTCCAATTGCTATTAAACCAAACACAATAACAAGCTGAATTAATATTTCATCAACTTTAAAAAAATCATCTTAGCATTTATGTTTTTCTGTGATTGTGTGTGTAGATTTATGGTTATGGAGTTTTTTTGCTCGTTCTTCTCCAATCGAAACTACACTTTAGAACGACCACCTAGCTTCACTGACAGACAGCCAACGGACAATTCAATATTTGAACTTTAACTTTAATTAAGAATTAATTGAAATAAATGCTTTGACTTTGTATAAAAGTGTTACTGCTCTAGCTGTGATAGAATTTTAAAAACTATATTCTGTCTGGCCTGTCACATGAGGGCACACAACAGGAGATAGCCATTAAGGGTTGCCGTTCCTGAAATCGGTAAGGACTATTATATATAAACTAGCTTTTACCCGCGGCTTCGCTCGCATCACAAAAGGATAAAAGTAGCCTATCTGACATATACCAATATACACAGCGCCATCTATACCAATAATTTAGTTTTCTCACGAGAATATCAAATTTTTCCTGGATAAAAAGTACCCTATTATTTAATCCGGACTTCTAACTTTACATCTGCAAAAATTCAAAGTAATCGGTTTAGTAGTTACGGCGTGAAAGCGGAACAAACAAACAAACTTACTTTCCGATTTATAATATTAGTAAGGATGCGTTACTATGTAACCTATTTGCAGAAATAAATATTATCATTTCATCTCACTTTAGCTTCTTTCGTTTTCCATTCCCATCCTCATATAAAAAACAGCCCAACTATGTTTTATGCCAAACCCTATTTTATTTCATTTACACTTCTGTAAACACAGTTACAATGACGGACTTAGGGGAAAGTTCCGTGATGCCAGACAGCACCAAACACCCACTTGTATTATCTCGATATCTAATAACACGAGTGATTCAATTTTTACTAAAAATCCTAGGTGTCTGCCACTAGGAGACTTCCCCCTAAAAATTGAATCGCTCGCGTTATTAGTTATTCAGATAATACAAGTGTCCGCCATTAGGAGCCGTCCGGCATTAAGGGACTTGCCCCTAATACTGAGTGGCATGCTCTCACAGTAAACTCCTATTTCTAATTTCATCCTGATCTCTTCAGCCGTTTTGATGTAAAGATGTGACAAAAAGACAAACGTACAAACTGTTGCATTTATAATATTAGTCAGATTTGACTGAAACAATCTTGATTATCAGAACAATATTTTAACTGCCTCTTTGGCCAAGTGTTTGCAAATGCGACTGCCAGGCAAGGGGTTTTAAGTTCGATTCCCAGGTGGGGCAAAATATTATTAAGTTTTATAAGAATTGTCAGTAGTAGCACGGAGTCTGGAATTGTGCCCGGTATATGGCAATAGGCTCACCCCCTATTACATGGGACTCATAACATAAATAGTGAAAAGTGGGTGTTACATTGTACAGTGGCATTAAGTGCCCTTACGTGCATCTCTGCCTACACCATCAGGGGTAAAAGGCATGTTGATGTTGTATATTTTGAATTGAAACACTAAAATCTATGGTTGGCTGGTAGAGTATGCCATTCGGAATTAAGTCCGCCATTGTATACCTACATTTGTACAAAAAGTGTTGAATAAAAAAAAATATAATAAAAAATAATTTTTCCCTCTCATTTTCCAGCATTACCAGAGATCACAGAGCGGCCGAAATCAGAAGAAACTATAAAAGAATACGGTGAACTGGCAAAATGGAAGGTTCTGGAACAAACAATAGTGAAATCTTTGACACAAGCCCATGCTGTGAAGGCTCTCATCACTACACCTGACCGTAATTTGGAACCAGATCTTGTGGAACGGAAAGAGTATGTGATCTATAATTTTACTTATATCCGTTTTGTGGTAAATTTGGCTTTAAAATGAAGGCTTGTGACTGCCAATAAAAAACTGTTGAAGGTAAATCCTCTGCTAACGCCGGTCACAGGTGACCCCATGGCGTTTAACGTGTTAATTGAATTTTATAAAGTGAACATACTTTAAAATGTAAAATGTTATTATTAGTTAATAATTTTACTGCCTCGTTGGCCGAGTGGTCGCAAGTGCGGCTGCCCGGCAAGGGGTCTCGGGTTCGATTCCCGGGTCGGGCAAAGTTTTACTGAGCTTTTAAAAAAACATCTCAGTAGTAGCACGGAGTCTGGATATGTGCCTGGTATATGTCGGTAGGTTCACCCCCTATTACATGGGACTCATATCATAAATAGTGATCTGTGTGAACCTTTGCCTACCCCTTCGGGGATAAAAGGCGTGATGTTATCTTATGTTATGTTATTTAGTTACAAATCTAGATAGATAAGTGAACATACCCCTAAAATATAAGTCGCGGAGAACCTAACGGGTAACCGGGGCTCCGGCTCGACGTGCAGAAGAAGGCACGGGGTGGTTTTTAGTCAGTAAGAGTGACACCCCTCCCGCAACACCCAGACGGGAGCAGGCATTCGATGATTTTCCCCCCTTAAAAAAACCTCTAAAATGTAAAAACATTATTAGTTCATATTGTCATACATTTATTGAAAATTATCTAATATTACATTTGAAATAGTATTAAAAAAAAAACAAAAAATCTATTAAAAATATACCTACATGACTACGGTTGGCGCGGTAGCTGGGCAACTGGTTGCTTGTCAATATGTCGCAGCTTTGATGCCCACACGGAACAACTCTTTGTGTGCTCCACAGATTGTTGTTCCGCGCTATACTTGTGTGTTTGTAAAAGCACCTACGACACAGGAAAAAATCCTAGGGTGAGACAATCGTCCGAGCCATCAGACCACCACAGATGGGGCCCAATAGGGCCGATGCCGATTCGGAGTCGCGGAGAACCTAACGGGTAACCGGGGCTCCGGCTCGACGTGCAGGAGAAGGAACGGGGTGGTTTTTAGTCAGTAAGAGTCTGACACTCCCTCCCGCCTCACACAGGCGGAAGCAGTCGTTAAAAAAAAAAGTTGAGACAATGCTATCTTAAAAAAAAGAAATTTTTTAACGCCGATCAAAGCTACCTAAAAACTACCTAACATGGCATCATTCTCAATTCCAGGCAAATAACAGCAGCTCTCATGGAGTTTCGTCACCAGGAGTCTAAGCTCCGTCATCTGAAGACTTTAGAAGCGGAGAAGGAGGCAGAGCTGGCCGCTACAAGGAGTCTATGGGATCAGGAACTGACAAACTTAAGAGACATGCGGGAATCTGGCAACTACTTCGAAGAGTATGATGTTACAAGTCCTATGTATAAGTGAGTATCTATTATATTTCTTGTCTTGGTTGCAAACAGAGCCCTTCTATAAGGGCCGAGACACATTAACGCGTAGCGTCACCGCAACGCTAAAATCGGCGGTTTGCGTTGCAGTGTTGCGGCGTCGTGAAAAGATTACCCTACTGGGGTAACCAGTTCGTCGTGATTTTTTGTTGTGGACAGACGTGTCTTTGCCATGGACCATCGTGAAAAACTTATTGCTTATTTGTTACTAGCACTTACCCGCTGCTTCGCGTCACAAAAGGATAAAAAGTAGCCTATGTGCCATATACCAATACATACAGCGCCATCTATACCAATATTTTTGTTTTCCCTCGGGAATATCAAATTTTTCCGGGATAAAATGTACCCTATTGTTTAATATGGACTTCTTCTAACTTTACATCTGCAAAAAGTCAAAGCAATCTGTTTAGTAGTTACGGTGTGATAGCGGAACAAACAAACAACTCACTTTCCGATTTATAATATTAGTAAGGATCTGTTATTAAGAAGACATTACTCTGCTATGCTGAAATATGTTTTTATCATCATGTCTTATCCTCGAAGGGGTAGACAGAGGTGCATATTACGGCACTTAATGCCACTGTACAATGTAACACCCATTTATCACTATTTATGTTATGAGTCCCATATAATTCGTGGTGAGCCTATTACTTTATACCGGGCACAATTCCAAACTCCGTGCTACTATTGAGATTTAAAAAAAAACCATTAATACTTTGCTCGACTCGGGAATCGAATCGACCCAACGAGGTAGTCTTTTAATGGAATTTAAACGGTGCGGAATTGGGTACTAGTCAAATTCAATACTTTTTTCGAACTGTCAAAAACGACAGTTTTCTATGAATTTTATACGAGATTGTGTATTGTGACGTCACGATTTTTTAGCGTCAAACAGTATACTTATTTCTTAAGAATTTGCTGGAAAAATATTAAAATTAAGTCGGTCATAAAATCAATTAACTCGTCGAGTACCGGTTTTGTAGACACAATTATAGAACAATAGGTTGCGGTCACCGGTGACCACTTGGTGTTTGACAGTTTAATGAAAGTGTGATTATATTTTTAATTTTTTATTGTATTAATTTATTTTTGATGAAGGAAAGTACCCAATTTTAACCTGCTATAATAACATCAATTTCAAATTTTCCAGAAAACTCCGCACCGTAGTCGACAAATTGGAGCTGATGCGGTGGTTAGTCGGCAGATTGGTGACGTCACGCGGCTCCCGAGACTGGCTCGCAACCCCGGACCGCACAGCGCATCTACTCCGACTAGCGACCAAACACAATAACGTTGATACGTTTCTTAAAGATTAAAAAATAGTATTTAACATAACATAACATAACATCACGCAATTATCCTCGAAGGGGTAGGCAGAGGTGCACATTATACGACTGTACAATGTAACACCCACTTTTTATGTCACTTTTTACTTAACTATTTATGTTATGAGTCCCATGTAATAGGGGGTGAGCCTATTGCCATATACCAGGCACAGTTCCAGACTCCGTGCTACTACTGAGATTTTAAAAAATAATGGAGAAACCCAGTAATACTTTGCCCGACCTGGGAATCGAACCCGAGACCCCTTGCTCGGCAGTCGCAATTGCGACCACTCGGCCAACGAGGCAGTCATCAAAAAATAGTATTTATAATAAATTATTATGTTTTGGTAACTGTTTGACGAGGAATTGGACTAGTTTTTTTTTGGGATGAGCCGGTAAACGAGCTGACGGATCACCTGATGGTAAGCAATGGAGAGGGCTATGCTCGGAGTATCTCTGAAGCAATAAGCATAGTATCCGTAACGAGGTGATCCGACAGAGAACTAAAGTTACCGATGTAGCCCAAAAGATTAGCAAGCTGAAATGGCAGTGGGCCGGTTACATTTGTCGAAGAACCGATGACCGCTGGGGTAGACGTGTTCTGGAGTGGAGACCGCGTCTAGGCAAACGTAGTGTAGGGCGCCCTCCAGCTAGGTGGAGGGACGATATGCGTAAAGTGGCTGGCAGTGAAAGAAAGAAAGAAAGATAGAAAAATAATTTATTCGCCATGGACATATACATGGACCACCGAAAATTAACATACAACATAAACATTAAAACACAAAAATAAATAGAAAACAAAAATAAAAAACATAAAATAACAAAAAAAAACAACAATGAAGGCAAAAAAAAAACATTATAAAAAAAACAAAATAAAAGAAACAGGGTGGCAGCATGTCCACGACGAAAGGGCTAACTCAGTCTAAGCTGGGCACAGTAAGTACCCAACACTGATTTTCAGTTGGCACCCCTGCAGTGACGCACGGACGCAGTGGTTGAATGCGTAGAGCTGAAGACCTGGCTCAGTGGCGTGCCATTGGAGAGGCTTATGTCCAGCAGTGGACGAATACGGGCTGATGATGAGGATGACGATGCAAGCAATTGGCGTCGCCCATTGACACCTGGAACACCAGAGGCGTTACAAATGCGTTACCGGCCTTTTGGGGATTAGGAATTTGATGATTGTTGGGGATTCTTTTTGTTTACTTTTTGTTGTTTTTCTTTAAACTGTCAAACACCAAGCGGTCACCGGTGACCGCAATCTATTGTTCTATAATTGTGTCTATAATGACGGTACTCGACGAGTTAATTAGGGCATTTACAGATGTGGAAACTATTATTCTTAAGAGTGTTAAATAAGTCAAGAAAGGATCGAGTCAGTCCCAACACAAGTATTGTATAATAACTTAATGGGACTGCCTTAAACTGTCAAACACCGCGAAGACACCGGTGACCGCAACCTATTGTTCTTTAATTGTGTCTATAATGATGGTACTCAACGAGTTAATGTTAGACAGATATTGTTATACAGGACAGGACATAAGGACGCTCGAGGGGTTAAGATATTAAACAATAATTTTAATTTGATTCAGAGATTGGGAGGAGGGCGGGGGGTAATTGGGCCTCTGGTTACCTCACTCACAACGCAAGCGTCGTTTTACGTTGGTGGTTTCACTCCGGTCGAGCCGGCCCAGCAGTGCCGAAGCATGACTCTCCCACTGTTAAAAAAGTTTCAAGCCATGCTAGAGGCTCATGTTTATGAGCATCATTCCGCGGGCCGCGACATGGTCGCTGCTGCTGGCTGGTCGAGTCTGCGATGCGTGCACCCTCTGCCGGGGTTACGGCGCACAGACCTCCCTCTGTGACGGCGCGCGACACCGCTGGCACGCTAGACTCGTCCGCCGGTGGCCGCGTAGACGTTGAATTCAGATCCCGGGTCGACGCAACACCAGTGTTACATACCGTGTTCACTGTGTTACTGTTAGGCCGAAAACAAGTGTGGGAGAGTCATGCTTCGGCACGAATGGACTCGTGATGATAGCTCGACCGGAGTGATACCACGGCCTCACTGAAAACCGACGTGAAGCAACGCTTGCGTTGTGTTTCGTCGTGTTTGAGTGAAGTTACCAGGAGCCCAATTACCCTCCCCTTCCCCAATCTCCCCAATCCCTGAATCCCCAACGATCCTCAAACTCCTAATCCCCAAAAGGCCGGTAACGCACTTGTAACGCCTTGGTGTTTCAGGTGTCCATGGGTGACGCCGATTGCTTACCATCAGGTGATCCGTCTGCTCGTTTACTGGCTTGAAAAAAAAACCAAATATATAAACAGCACACTACCGCCATCTAAGGGGGCTTAGAACAAGTTTCTTTTACGTAGTAATCTAATCTGACTGTGTTAAAGGAATGTAAACTTTATATTCTTAGAATAAAAGTAGGTTATTGAAAGCTTTGTTAAGTGTTCTTTGTATTTTTGCTATTTTTAATGTAAATAAAGTAAGTTTATTGATATGAATTGTTTTTTTTTTTAAGTAAATCATTTATGTTTTTTCCCCCGAAGAAGAAGACTTTTTAAAGACTTTGCACCACAATAGGATCTCCTCCTGTGTCGTGGGTGCGTTTACAAATATACAAGTTAACATACACATGACACCCAGACCCGGAACAATAAAGAAACCCAATTACTCCCCTCCCCCGTCTCCCCAATCCCCGAATCCCTAACAATCCTCAAATTTCTAATTCCCAAAGGCCGGTAACGCACTTGTAACGCCTCTGGTGTTCCAGGTGTCCATGGGCGACGCCGATAGCTTACCATCAGGTGATCCGTCTGCTCGTTTACCGGCTTATACCATAAAAGGCAGTCAGTTAGAACAAAATGACAAGGTGTCTAATTAAAAAACAAAAATAGGTAGGTACATAATTATTTATTAACAATAGGTAAAATTCGTTGTAAAACACATACATAATAATTGGGTACTTGCCAAGTAGTCAAATTCAACACTTTTTTCGAACTGTCAAAAACGACAATTTTCTGTGAATTTCGTACGAGATTGTGTATTGTGACTAGGGTTGCCACCCGTACTTTATAATAAAGTATTGTACGTTATTTAAGGTAATTGTACTTTATACTTTATAAGAATAATAAAGTACACGAAAATACTTTATTTTTGCAAACTTCATTTCTATTAAAGTCGTAAGTATTTTTCAGTAAACTTATCGATTCGATATCGATATTTATCGATTTCTGTTGAATCGATTTCGCCACTGGCCAGCGCCACTTTGACAATTTCTAGTAAAGATGCAATTGTTTATTAAACTACCACAAGCGGTCACCGGTGACCGCAACCTATTGTTCTATAATTGTGTCTACAAAACCGGTACTCGACGAGTTAAAGATTGTAATTTAATACAAACTGCAAAAAGCAATAAAAATATATTTTTAAATATAATACTAAAGAATTGTACTTTATTTTTGTACTGTGTACTTTATTTTCTTACCTGTAATCGTCAATGTACTTTAAATACCAAAAAAAAAGGTGGCAGCCCTAATTGTGACGTCGCGTATTAGCGTCTTAGAGCATACCTACTTACATCTTAAAAATTTGCTGGAAAAATACTAAAATTAAGTTGGTCATAAAATCAATCAATGAAAGTGTGGTTACTTTTGAATATTATATTGTACTAGCTTTTACACGCGGCTTCGCTCGCGTCACAAAAGGATAAAAAGTAGCTTATGTGACATATACCAATACTCACAGCGCCATCTATACCAATACTTTTGTTTTCCCTCGGGTATATCAAATTTTTCTGGGATAAAAAGTAACCTATTATTTAATTCAGACTTCTAACTTTACGTCTCCAAAAATTCAAAGCAATCGGTTTAGTAGTTACGGCGTGGAAGCGGAACAAACGAACAAACTCACTTTCCGATTTATAATATTAGTAAGGATTAATGCAAGTACCTACACAATTAAGTAGGTAGGTTGAAGATACAAATTACAAAAGTAAAAAACGAAAATAAACCCAAGGATACTAAGGGACAAAATATGTCCCACGAATTGTATCGGCAACATGTCAAATGTCGCTTGACAAATATGGCGATAATGTGCGACTTATGTCCGCAGGGACGTTAGACGACTTTACGAAACTTTGCCTGACTTATTTGCCGACATCGCGCATCTTATGGGCGTAACGACGTCAGGCGAAGTCGTGCGACGTTGCGAAACTTCACTGAATATCTGGCGAGATCACGAAGTTTTGTTTCATAACACAGTAGCATGTCGCGCGATGTTGCCTGACATATCGAGCGAAGTACGGCAACGTCGCGTTACCCATCGACATTATACTAATGGACATGCCGTACCGCGTATAATCTGCAGTATTTAGTTTGAAAAGTGAAAGAGATGGCCTATGCTTTCGGTATGGCGCTATCTCTTTCTCGATCATAACGTCTTAACTACGGTAGGTAGGTACTATTTTGAGAGAGATAAAGACAGACCGAAATTTCGTTTCCTCTCTTTCTTTCGGAGTGCCACAACTCTTATCTCTAATGTCATGGCATGTCCATTAGTATAATATGGCGATGGCGCTACCTGATCAGGGGGCTTGACTCAGGACTCTTGAATCCAATTCCAATCGATCGACATTGTTATTGTGAAATTTCGTACTCTTGAGTTGCAACACTAGCGCCCATTGCATCCGTATTGCGTGGATATTGAATGAACTAAATGGTATTGAGTTTGGCTTTAAATTCCGTACTCTGAATGCTATTTCAACAGCTACGATTGTGGTTGTATAGTTTTGACATTGAATAATTATTGACATTTTATTGGATTGAAATTGCATTGATATTGAGATTGGTTTCAAGAGTAAGCACCCTGATGGCGCTGGCGACCCGTGCCGAGCGATGTTGCCCGACATGTTGATCGAAGTCCGGCAATGTCATACCACTCCACCCAACGTCACAGGCGACATGTGTTGCACGACATTTGTCCCCAAACGTGTACGTGCTACATTAAAACTTATAGCTAGTTAAAGTTATAGTACATAAATTAAAATATAAATCACAAAGAAAAAACTAAAAAGCAAAAAATAACTATTATTAGTATTGATAGGTTACCCACTATCTGATAGGTTAGAAGTCGGCGCCATAAGTTCTATACAAAATTATTCATTAAAACCTTAATAGATACCTAATTATAATTTTGTGGACATTAAGTTATATCATTATGATATGAGCTTATGGCACTGACTTCCAACCTATCAGTACTGATAGTATGTAGTTATTTTTTGCTTTTTAGTTTTTACTTTTTTTTGTTTTGGTTTTTTAAAGTCGATTTTCAAATTCAATTTTTATTTTATCATTTTATTGTACCTAAAGCTACATATATATTATATCCGTTTTGTTGTTATTTTCCACTTGTAATTCACATAGATGCAATGTAGTTCTAATCAATACAAATTAAACAAGCCCAAACACAAGGTAGCTACTGTATACCGTTGAGGAGTTCCCTTAACAATTACACTTCATCATCAGACCCTTAATGGCAGTCTAGTGGGAATGTTATTAAGCAGTCTGCCTTAATGGGTAATGGTTACCGACATATGCTTTCTTAATCAATCAGTAGCTGTATAAATCGAGGTTATAATTCATAAATTTTAAACCTTATCTTCTAAGGAATATGGTTATAAATTGTTAATAGATACTTGACTACGCGTCCATTTTAGTTGCAGATCAGTAGCATAAAATACATAATTTTAGTCTTAGTTTATGCATATTTATTTTTGTTATAATATCCACCATAATTATGATAAAGAGGAGAATCGGATTTAGCACCTTCGCAGACAGTCCCAGACAAAATATTGTCGACATTTGCCCTGAAAATGAAAAAAAGATAATCTTAATTTTGTATGAGTAGGTAGTGGGCTAGTATAGTTAGCCTTGCCACCGTGATTGCTTGTGTATTTGATGGGCCGACGTTTGACCACTATCTCGCGTGGTGGTAAAAGATGATGCGGTCTACGATGGAGCACGTCGACCCATAAGCAACCTATTTACTAGGGCCTTGAAGACTCCCAGGTAATGCCCTTCAGGAAATACAGACTCTGGCAAAGAATTCCACTTCTTAGCAGTACGCACAAGGAAGCTTTGCGTTGCCCCACGCTAGGATTATCTCCTGTGTCGTGGGTGCGTTTACAAATATAAAAGTTCACATACACATGACACGCAGACCCGGAACAATAATTTGTGGATCACACACAGAGTTGCTTCGTGCGCCGAAACTGTTACAAATTGCGTGACAACGGGTTGCCGTGGTCGTCGTAAAAATAGTCGGTTCTTCGGGGCTCTTTGAGGATGGACACGGGCCTCGAGTACCCTTGTGGTAAAGAAGTTACTGTTTTTAATTAATTTTTGGGTAGTTAGTGACGTTACCTGAGGCCCAATTGCCCGCCTCCTCATCTCCAATCTCCCCAATCCCTGAATCCCCAATGATCCTGAAACTCCTAATCCCCGAAAGGCCGGTAACGCACTTGTAACGCCTCTGGTGTTCCAGGTGTCCGTGGGCGACGCCGATTGTTTACCATCAGGTGATCCGTCTGCTCGTTGACCCGGCTATCCCATAAAAAAGTAAGTACCTAAATAGGAAAGGTTTAATATTTACTTGTACACGAAGAAATTGTAGTCATTAGGGTTGAATCTCGAGTATATGAAACGAGGCAGCGTATTGGATGTCACCCATACTTCGTTGTCAGTCACATGCAAATCTGTAATACACAACATAAGATCAGAATACATCATTAGCCTATAAGTGGCCACTGTTAACCAAAGCCTCTTCTCACACGGAGATGGTTTGAGCATTTATCACCACGCTTGCTCAATGTGGGTTGACTCTTTCAAACTTACTACTCTGTCAAGAAAGTACCGGGACACATAACATCACGCCTTTTATCCCCGAAGGGTTAGGCAGAGGTGCACATAGAAGTAACACCCACTTTTCACTATTTATGTTACGAGTCCCGTGTAATAGGGAGTGAGCCTAATGCCATATACCGGGCACATTTCTAGACTCCATGCTACTATTGAGTGTTTTTTAAAACCCAGTAATACTATGCCCGACCCGGGAATCGAACCCGAGACCCCTTGCCCGGCACTTGCGACCACTCGGCCAACGAGGCAGTCTAGTCAAGAAAGTACCGGGAAAAGGCAAGATACACAAAATGTCTGTTATTCATCCAAATTTATTTATCCTTTAGAAACGATACACTTGCGCCTTCGAAAAATCCATTCATCAAAACATTTTTTAAACGCTGCTTCCGGAATTGAGTTCAGACAAAATTTAATACCATCTCTTCATTAGATATTTTTGTCCAATATGAAATTCGCAATACACACTATTTTATGATATTACTAAAACCAGCACTGCATTTAATACTAGCAGCCCCCGGCTTCGCACGGGGTAGATAATAATTTATTTTTGGAAATTTGGATTGTAGTAGTGACATAACTACAATAGTTGGACATATGCTACCGCGGAGTTTTTTGTAGACATTATGATGTTCTTCAATATTGTTTTTCATTATTTTGTTCTATCGCTAATAGTTTCGGCAGCGCATTCGACGAAAGACATTTTAAGACTCATTTTTCTACACTTTCGGTTACATTGTTCAAATTTTACCAAGGATAATTTTTTTCAACATGAAATGTAGCCTATGTCAAATTGGAAGAATGTAGCATTCTATTGATGAAAGATTTTTTTAAATCGGACCAGTACTTTTTGAGCCTATTCATTACAAACATACAAACATACAAAAATAGGTACAAATCTTTCCTCTTTATAATATTAAGTATAGATAAATAACAGATGCCACTCAAACTCCGCGCCAAAATGGAAAACAGTTGTGCCAATCTAATAACTACAATTTGTGTGAAAACCAGAAAAGTGTCCACACACCTCCGACTCCCTGAGGAGTCCTTCTGCCCAAATTATCGGACTACGATTACATTAGCTTTTTTAAGTTTAAGAATTGCCAACCTTTGAACGTATGCTAAAACCAGAAAAAAACGTTTAATTTGACTTTGGGTTATTACTGAAATAAGATGAAATTGGGAAGATTTTATTAATTTTTGCTTACGCACGTTTGAGGCCACAATAGTTTAGGGGCCCCGTATAATTGATACGGCAGATACGGCGCTAGCTACGCCCCTGGTCCTTTTACGCATCGCGCATCAAAATCTTATCGTCCCAAAATTTTCTTTGTTTCCTTTTCCTAAAGGTGTACACTTCTGTTTACGATCCATGTCCCGACCTAATTTTCAATTTAAAATGCGTATGGTACCTACGCTAGCGTGCCAACAGTATCGCGCGCGCCGCCGTCGTCGATACCACGAGTCCACGAATAGAGGGAAGTGTGCGTGAGTCACGGCAGAGGGCGCCCGCAGACTCGAGTAGCCAATAGCAGCGCGACAGTCGCCGCGTCGGTCGCGAAATGCTGCTCATGAATATGAGCCTCTAGCATGGCTTGAAACTGGTCGAGTTCCTCGTCAAATTATTACGTGAGTAAGTCGAAAACATAATAATTTATTTACCTACGTATGGTACGGTTGACTGTCGCCGAAGGAATGTTCCGTCTTGTTGGGCGAAATCGCATCGCAGCAATTCGCATCGTAATCTTCTGCGTTGCGAATTCGCATCGCATCGCAGTTTTGTGTACGAGCGCAAAAACCCCCTCTTTTTTGAACTCAGTTCAATAATATACTAAAACCATACCGGGGGCTTACTCTTGAATCCAATTCCGATCGATCGACATTAGTATTGTGTAATTTCCTTACTCTTGAGTTGCAACACTAGCGCCCATTGCATCCGTATTGCGTGGATATTTATTAAACTAAATGGTATTGAGTTTGGCTTTACATTCCGTACTCTGAATGCTATTGCAACAGCTACGATAAGGGTTGTATAGTTTTAACATTGAATAATTATTGAGATAGAATTGAAATTGCATTGAAATTGAGATTGGTTTCAAGAGTAAGCACCCAGGTCTAAATAAGAACCTCCTTTCATTGAAGTCGGTTAAAAACAAATCTTTTACCTGATGGATAACTCAGTCTGGAGCTATCACGTGCGAGCATCGCCATGTTGTCTGGACGGAGTGGCATATCAGTGTTCCAGCAGGATATGGAGTCTCTCCCCACTTCAGCAAAGAACATTACCTTTGTGGCGCCGTGCATATCGTGCATCGTGCTTTGGCTGTTACTACCACGATCACCAACCACCTGGAAAATATTTAATCCAGAGGTATATGACATAACGTAACATCACGCCTTTATCCTCGAAGGGGTAGGCAGAGGTGCATATTATGCCACTGTACAATGTAACACCCACTTTTCACTATTTATGTTATGAGTCCCATGTAATAGGGAGTGAGCCTATTGCCGTATACCAGGCACAGTTGCAGACTATCTGCTACTACTGAGATTTTTTTAAGAACTCAGTAATACTTAGCCTGACGCAGAATTAAACCCAGGACCCCTTGCCCGGCAGTCGCACTTGCTACCACTCGCCCAACAATTCACTGAACGTCTTCTGGTACAATAGTACCAGACCAGACCAATAGGTAGACCAATAGGTCTACTAACAGTCTACTCAGAAATGACTAACGGTCTACTAAAACACTTACCTCAAAGGCAGTCTCGTTAGCTTGTCTCTTCTCCAGCTCACACGAAGATACAGAGAACTCTTGGTGGCTGACCATGGGATGGAAGTAGACCGGGCGGCATCCATCAGGCCCTGGTTGTCCCGCAGCCACGCTGAAGATTCCATCATTCCACATGAATGAATGACCTATAATTAAAGAGGTATTCTAATGTTAAAACACTTTAAATTCCATTACCAATATTTAAATACATTTTTTTTTGAGGAGGGAAAATCATCCAAAGGCTTCTCCCACCCGGGTCTGAGAGTCTGACACTCCCTCTCGCCTTGAGAGGGAGTGTCAACTCTTACTGACTAAAATCCACCCCATTCCTACTCCCGCATTTTGAGCCGGAGCCCTGGTAACCTGTTAGGTTCTCCGCGGCTCCGTATCGGCATCAGCCCTGATGGGCCCCACCTGTGGTGGTCTGATGGCTCCTTGAGGCGCGCGCGGAACGCGACGCGCCGTGCGCTCGGGTCTGTTTCTTGTCGGGCGGCGATTCGAGTGACTCGACATAACATAACATCACGCCTTTTATCCCCGAAGGGGTAGGCAGAGGTGTACATTACGGCACTTAGTGCCAGTGTCTAATGTAACACCTACATTTCACTATGTAAAAGGGGGTGAGCCTATTGCCATATACCGGGCACAATTCCAGACTCCGTGTACCAGTAATATTTTGCCCGACCCGGGAATCGAACCCGAGACCCCTTGCCCGACAGTCGTTCTTGCAACCACTCGGCCAACGAGCAACAAGCAAATTAAATTACTTGTAAAAAAAAATAAGCAATGAACCCACCTGCGACCCTTAAACTCCCAGAAGTCGGATTGAAATGAAAGTAATTGTGTTGATGTCTCCAACTATCATTTTCTCTCAAGGAGTAGACGATCAGACCAAACGTCTGCAAATCCGGTACGTAAGCATACGCATCGCTACAGTCACCGTTTTTGATAACCACGGTGATCGAGGCCAGGCCTGAAAATGGAAAGAGTTTTTAGTTGAGAATGAGAGTGACTGACTGACTGATTGATCTATTGGTTGATTGAATTACTGTTTGATTGAAAAAGTTTTTAGTTGAGAAAGAGAATAAGAGCGACTGACTGACTGATTGATCTATTGGTTGATTGAATTACTGTTTGATTGAAAAAGTTTTTAGTTGAGAAAGAGAATAAGAGCGACTGACTGACTGATTGATCTATTGGTTGATTGAATGACTGATTAATAGATCCTAATAACTGATTTATTGATTGATCTTGACTCAATCGAGCTATTGGTTGACAGATTGAATGTATGATAGATATGTAACGGTATTAAACAGGCTGGTGTTGAAAATCAGCGCTGTGGACTCAAGCCTTCGGGCCCGGTCCACAGCTCCGGCCTTTTGTGCGATGCGCACGCACGCGAAATTCTTTTTATGTATTCTTATATTGTTGTTTGCATGGATGCAGTTGTGCAATAAACAGTTATCTTTCTTTCTTTCTTCAAAGTCAAAGTGAAAATAATTTATTTCAATTAGACCAGGAAGGCATTTTTGAACGTCAAAACAAAATATTAAAAAATTAAATAATAATAAAAATCACCGTCTGTAGGTCAGTCCTCTAATGAAGTGTGTGTACAACGTTGATTGATTGACTGACTTATTGATTGATCAAACAGTTGATTTACTGACTGATTTATAAGTCAGTTAGTGGATAGATTGAAAGATTGATTGATTAACCAATTGGTTGATTGACTGACTGATTGACTATTTAATTGATTGATTGACTGACTGATTGATTCATGGATTGAATGATTTATAAAAAATACCTGTAGCAGTTCTATTAGTAGGGATATCCGAACTCTTGAATTGATATCGAAGAATCTGTTTGTCCGTTTTCAAATCGAACACCACAATCGCAGGCGGTCGAAGGTACTGTGGATTGTCTGTAAAAGAAAATATTTTTTTAAATGTAGGTTTATTAAGAAGTGAACAGAAGACTGCCTCGTTGGCCGAGTGGTCGCAAGTGCGACTGCCGGGCAAGGGGTCTCGGGTCGGGCAAAATATTACTGGGTTTTTAAAAATCTCAGTAGTAGCACGGAGTCTGGAAATGTGCCCGGTATATGGCAATAAGCTCACCCTCTATTACATGAGACTCATAACATAAATAGTGAAAAGTGGGTGTTACATTGTACAGTGGCATTAAGTGCCGTAATGTGCACCTCTGCCTACCCCTTCGGGGATAAAAGGAGTGATGTTATGTTATGTTATGTTTATTAAGAAGTTTTATATGAGACATCTGAAACACCAGAGACGTTACAAGTGATGTATTTGTGCCATGCTGTATAAATATTCTCTGGCCACCGTAAGCACGGGCCTGCGGACGGCGAGCATGGGTAGCCCGCCGCCCGACAAGAACCAGACCCGAGCGTGCGGCGCGCTCGCTTCAAAGAACCATCAGAACAATACGAATGGGGCCCAACAGGGCTGATGCTGATACGGAGCTGCGGAGAACTTAAAGGGTTACCGGGGCTCCGGCTCGAAGTGCAGGAATGGGGTGGTTTTTAGTCAGTAAGAGCCTGACACTCCCTCCCGCTTCGCCCAGGCGGAAGAAGGAATTCGATGAATTTCCCCCCTTAAAAAAAATATAAAAAAATGCTGTACAAATATGTACTCACTTGGTATCTCGATGACTCCAGTGTCCACCATCCACAGTCGTCCACATTCGTCGGCTCGCGTCCTATATACGGATATCAAAGACCTGGACCTTTCCATGTCGGGGTATGGAGAGAGTGGAGGGGAACGACTGTTCCCATGGAGATTCAGGTCTATGTAGTTCAATGTTGCCGGTATACCTGCAAAAAATTAAAATAATGTAACGAAGATAATATAAATTCTCAGCCATACATGCATCACATCACGCCATCATATTACGGCACTTAATGCCACTTTACAATGTAACACCCACTTTTCACTATTTATGTTACGACTCCCATGTAATAGGGGGTGAGCCTATTGCCATACACCGGGCACGATTCCAGAAAATTATTAGTTCAAAAATTAAAAACATGCTTTTTATAAAAAATATTTAAAAAGATGAGGAGATGCTCACCGTATCTTCGCCGTGGGATTGTGATGAAAACACGATCGTCAACTCTTTCAGCCCCCATCGGAACGTTATTGTATTGCACGAAGAATCGTCCGACTTCATCTGGAGAATTAAAAACATTATAGTTAAGTATTTTTTTGATGGGTTAAAGCCGATGAACGAGCAGATCACCTGATGGTAAGCAATCCGCGCCGCCCATGGACATCTGGAATGCCAGAGGCGTTTCAAGTGCGTTACCAGCCTGTTGGGGATTACGAGTTTGAGGATTCATTTGAATTGGAGATAAGGAAGGGGGGGGGGGTGTAATTTGGTCCTCGATGACCTCACTCACACAACAAAACACAACGCATGCGTCGTTTCACGTCAGTTTTCTGCTCGGCCGTGGTATTACTCCGGTCGAGCCGGCCTATTCGTGCCGAAGCATGGCTCTCCCATACTTTTTCGGCTGTCAAGACTACAAAACCAGCCTAGGATTATAAGATTTATTTAAAAGAACCCTATCTCTGTACTCAATCGTAGCATGGTGTCTGAAATTTTCGTGTACCTAATTCCTTGTTCCAAAAGGACCTTACCATTAGGGTTTATCGGTGCAGAGCTCGGCGTGTCTATGGGATTGTTGTACACAGGCAGCTGTGAAGAGAGCGACGGTCCTGAAATCATATAAATTATTTAAATAGCAACGAATTGATCTTCTCAACAAATTGAAAAAAATTCGTGGTGGCCCGGAGGTTTAAGACGCCCGCTTCTCATGCGCGGGTTCGAAACCTACCAACGGCAAGTACCAATGTGATATTTTCCGAGTTAAATGTGCTTTTTAAGACTATCTAGACACCACTGACAAACGGTGAAGGAAAACATCGAGAGGAAACCTGGGCTTATAATTTCTTATTATATACAGGTTTCCTAACGATGTTTTCCTTCACCGTTTGCCAGTGGTGTCTAATAATCTAAGGGCCGATGCCGATGTTTCAATCATTAGTTAATTCCTGTAGAATAAAATTGACATTTGACAGATAATAATTACACTAAAAATCGCGGGTTAATCACGTGAATATACTGAGAAAAACTCTACTAAAAAAGTAGGTGGCGCGACATCGTATCGCCGCGACCGCGCACGCTGCGCAAGAGGAAGAACCCCTCGTGGGAGTGGTTCGAAACTAGTAGAGCTCTTCTCAGTATATTATCATTATATCACCCACGATTTTTAGTCAATTTAGTATGTCTCACGATAGTTATTCTTAATAGATATTAGTATGGAAGAATAATTATTAAGTACCTATACAAAGCTTTCCTCTGATAAAATTTATCTGAGCATTGAAAAATCGGTCCTTAGAAAGTACTTATAACTCGGAAGAAGTCACATTGGCACTTGCCGTTGGTAGGTTTGAAGCTCGCATCCTAATGCATGAGAAGCGGGCGTCTTAAGCATCCAGGCCACCACGGCTGCCTCTCCCTTTACAAATCTTTGGTTTAAGTAATATCTTTACTAATATTATAAAGAGGAAAGATTTGTACCTATTTTTATATGTTTGTAATGAATAGGCTCAGAAAGTACTGGGCCGATTTCAAAAAAATCTTTCACCAATAGAATGCTACATTCTACCAATTTGACATAGGCTACATTTCATTTTGAAAAGAATTAGGGATCCCTGGTAAAATTTGAACAATGTAACCGAAGGTGTAGAAAAATGAGTCTTAAAATGTCTTTCGTCGAATGCGCTGCCGAAACTATTAGCGATAGAACAAAATAATGTACAACAAAATTGAAGAACATCATAATGTCTACAAAAAACTCCGCAGTAGCATATGTCCAACTATTGTAGTTATGTCAGTACAACAAACCAAATTTCCAAAAATAAATAATTGCCTACCCCGTGCGAAGCCGGGACGGGCTGCTAGTAAGATATAAATACTTACTCTTATTCCAAACCTTTTGTTCCTCATTGTCTTTGTCATCAAAATAAATATTATCCGTCGATCTTCTATCTCTGCCTGCTAGGTCATCTTCTGAAAACCGATCTTCAAGTACTGGAAAAAAAATAAAGAGCACATTAGTTGTTTTTAATCTTAAATTGAGTTCTCCACGGACTGCGTGCCCTTGTCATACAATTCTTTTATTACAATATGTCTAATCAATATTTTATGAAGTAGTTACCTAGTTAAACACTACAATTAACAACATCTATAATCTATCTATGTATATATACTTATAATAAATCTGTAGTGAGGTTAATTCTGTACATTAAATATATTACCAAAATAACTATCAGGGGGTGATTCGTTATTGATACTAATGCCAAAAATGCAATCAGTAAATTTTTTGTCTATCTGTCTGTCTGTCTGTCTGTGTGTTCCTTATAGAAATAAAAACTACTCGACGGATTTTAACGAAACTTGGTGCCATTATTTTTCATACTCCTGGGGAGATTATAGTATACTTTTCATCACGCTACAATCAATAAGAGCAGAGCAGTGAAGGAAAGTGTTGAGAAAACGGGAGAAGTTACTCCATTTTTTATGCTTCCGTCTCGTGAGCATGCTTAATAGTTAAAGCTACATAGAAATCATGTATGACGGACATATTCTACATAAAATTATCTAAATAATATCCCATTACAGCACATGTCTATCTTTTATGGTTGACTTACAATAACACGTGTAACTCCCGATAGCTTAGCAGTTCGGAGCTTTCTGCTTATATTTGTTTACTCTTACGTTTACAATACTCATCCATAGACTTTACGCTGTAACTGTAGGGCCGATGGTTGAAATTAGCTTGACTCGATATTATAAATGTATGAATATGTGAGTTTATGTATACGTTTGTTACTCAGTCATATTAAAACGACTGAAGGAACCGGAATGAATTACGGAACAGAGATAGATTATGGTCTGAAGTAATACACAGGCATTTTACACCTGGGATCGCGGGCGAAGCTGCTGGCAGAAGCTAGTTATTACTATAATAATTAATTACATAATAATTAGCTATTATCCATTTACATATATATTTCGACGACTCTGAAATCAGCCCACCAACACGATGGGAGAGCCGACCTGACCCAGCAGAAGGTACCCGTTTACGAATATGACGTGTGTGTCAGCAATTGGTCCGGTCAACCTTTTATTTGGGAACGGAACAACCCAACACACAGCGCCACCGACTGTAGGCCATTAAAAAAAACGCACATTGTATAGAACCGTCGTTATAAACTCTGTTTCAATCAACCAGCTTCTACAGTAGCATTGAGTTTTAAAGTTTTGGGTGGCAAAGAGCCGAGGTGATGGATCACTTGATGGCCGGCAATCGGCGTCGCCCATGTACACCCGGTAACACTAGAGGAGTGTGCGCCTGCAACACAAATTCGCAGTGGCTGGGAAACTATCTGCCATACAACGTGTCGCAGATTCGGTTCCCGCATGGAACAACTATTTCTTTGGCAACGTTTTGCAATTGATTTTCCTTGAAACGTATTGAATCATATTCAAGATATTTATCTAAACAAATCGCTGGTTTTGTTTAGCATTTTTTGTTAAACAGATTTCTCAGTGCATCTGCACGAATACTTGTTTTTCTCGTGATTGTTGATCACGATATTTAATGACAGTGCAAAGTTAAGGATCCTCTCAAAAAACATCTAGAAATTGAAGTAGGTACGGGTATGTGTTAAACACAGATTTGCTAACAAGGATAGAACCAAAATATTTAGTACCTACGGTTCTACACTTATATTTAGTAAGATATTTAAGTATGGGAGAGCCATGCTATGATACCACGGCCTCACAGAAAACCCGACGTGAAACAACGCTTGCGTTGTGTTTCGTCGTGTGATTATGGTTACCGGAAGACCAATTACCTAGTCTATTACCCAATCTCCCAATCCCCCACAATCCCAATTCCCAAAAGGCCGGTAACGCACTTGTAACGCCTCTGGTGTTTCAGATGTCTATGAGCGACGCCGATTGCTTACCATCAGGTGATCCGTCTGCTCGTTTACCGGCTTATGCCATAAAAGAAAAAGAGCTGTTGAAAAGATTTCAACCGAAATAGACATTTGGTACGGTTCTACACTTTGATAATGGAAATACAATAATATTTATAGGTGGATTTTTTTTAAGGGGGGAAAATCATCGAATGACTGCTCTCGCCTGGGTGAGGCGGGAGGGAGTGTCAGACTCTTACTGACTAAAAACCACCCCGTTCCTTCTCCTGCACGTCGAGCCGGAGCCCCGGTTACCCGTTAGGTTCTCCGCGAC